CTCTGTCCTGCTGTCCACATAACCCCTTTTAACAATTTTTAGAAACAGAAAATGTACGTAGTTAGGATCCTTTAGTGGTTTGGTGAAGTGAAAGTCTTCCCCTGTCCTATTAAGACTTTTAAGAAATTCTTTTCCGGGGAAAAAAAGTATACATATACCAAAATACATGTGATTATTCCTAAAAATAAATATTTAAACACATTGTTCTTGAACTTGCTTGTTTAGTATGTATAAGGGATGTTTTAAAATTGGGAATATGTGTCAGCTAAAAAGTATTTTAAATAATATTCTTTTAAAATATCTTTTAAAATAATATTCTTAAGACGTCTCAGAATAATTTAGGTAATGGAGCTCCTCTTCTCTTGGGCCCCTTTTCTTGATAGAAAGACAGGATTCCTGTACAATTTGGGGGAAGGAACTGGAGCCAGCTATAGGATGTTTTCCCAAGGTCATCACTCACCTACCAAAGACCTTTCTAATGTTTTTGGTAATGCTTCTTGTATAATTATTAATCTCATTAGTGTATTCTATTTTTAAATAACCTTCACGTGGTGAGTTTATCCTGGTTGTATGGTCCCATCTCCCAGCTGTCCTTAAATCTCTTGCCTCTGGTTACACTGTTTCAGATTACATGTTTTTCAGGAACTCTGGTAACTCTGGTGCTTTAACTATATGTATCTTCTCTGTCAACATACATTTTCCTGTCTGTTAGAATGTATGGTCCTTGAGGATAGGAATTAGCCTTTACCTACATATTAGTGCTCAAAAAATCTTTCCTGGCTGAAGGACAAATTGAGGAGTACTGATGATGGTTCTGGGGACTTGTGTTTATTCCCTCCAGGGGAGCCAGGAAGTGGGACGGAAAGTGATACTTCTCCAGACTTCCACAATCAGGAAAATGAGCCCAGCCAGGAGGACCCTGAGGATCTGGATGGCTCTGTGCAGGGAGTGAAACCTCAGAAGGCTGCTTCTTCTACTTCCTCAGGGAGTCACCACAGCAGCCATAAAAAGCGAAAGAATAAAAACCGGCACAGGTCAGTGGGAGGGCCCCCCTGCCCACTCCCTGCCTAGTTTCCATAACTATTGCTTTGAAGGGACTTCACTAGAATAGAAATTCTTTAGCATTGGTGCAATCTTTCATTGCTGATGGATAGAAATTCCTTTGGTCCAATGGAACGGGCTGTTTTCTCTCTGAGGGAGGATTTGGTGGGCATTAGATTCACCATGAAGGAGGACATCCGTTTCACTGTTTCTAATGTAGAAGAATTTTATTCCATAAAAACTTTAATACAGTGACCTTGGAATCCTTTTAGAAGAGGACAAGGGGAAGTAGAAACAGAATCTGTGTAGTAGTACATGAAAGATGCCTCTAGAACATGATGGGAAGCTGCAAAGTGGGATGAAGTCTTTTGCTCTTCATCCTGACCCCTGCCTACTCATTCCTTTGTGGATGGAGAGAACTGATACGACATGCTGTTTTTTTCCTTTTTAAATGAAAGTTTTTGATTGCTTATCATTTCTCTGTTTTTATGTATCTCTGCAGCATACTGATTTCAGATGTCAGAGGAACAACATATAGTCTATAAGATATGAAAGTTCCATTCTAGATAATGTTTGTCCAGTGTTTTTTTGTTTTTTTGTTTTTACAGTGTATAATGAGATAGGAATGACATCAGTGGACAGAGAGGTCAGGTGTCACCCAGAGAGGATTTTAGCATTCACTCTGCTTGGGGTTTGTATGATAATATATATACCTTGGAGTAGACTTGCTGGGTCATTTGGTAATTTTGTTTAAACTTTTGCCAAACTGTTTTCCAAGGTGGCTATACTATTTTATATTACCCATCAGCAATGTATGAGGTTCTAATTTCTCCACATCCTCACCAACACTTGTTATTGTTTCTCTTTCTGTTATAGTCATCCTAGTAGGTATGAAGTGGTATCTCACTGTGGTTTTGATTTACATTTCCCTAATGACTAATGATGTTGAACATCTTTTCATATATATACCTCTGGACCATTTGTGCATCATCTTTGGAGAAATGTTCAAATCCTTTGCTGATTTTTTAAACTTTTTAATCTTTTTATTATTGAGTTTTAAGAGTTCTTTGTATATTCCAGATATATGTCCTTATCAGATATATAATTAGGAAATATCTCTTCCATTCTGTGGGTTTTTTTCCTACTTTCTTGGTGAAATCATTTATATATATATATAATTTCTCTTTTGTCATGCTTGCTTTTGTGGTCATATTTAAGAAGCCATTTGCTTAATACAATGGATTCTAAGAATTTTACACTTCTAGCTCTTACATTTAGGTCTGTTATACATTTTGAATTAATTGTTGTGTATGGTGTCAGATAGGGGTCCAACTGCATGCTTTTATATGTGGATATCCAGTTGTCCCAGCATTACTTGTTAAAAAGACTGTTTTCCTCATGGAATTGTCTTGCAACCCTTTTTGAAAATCAATTGACTATAAATGTAAGGCTTTAATATCTGGACTTAGAATTCTGTTCTCATCATCTATATGTATATTCTTGATTGCCAGTACCTCACAGTCTTGGTTACTGTAGTTTTGTGTAGTAAATTTGAAGTTCATTTGTTAATTTTTACATGAAATCAATTTTCCTGAACTTTTTTGAAGGGCAGAGTTGGTCAGTATATTTTTTCTAGTTTCTAGAGCTCCCTCTTCTGTTGTTTTCATGAAGGGTTCAAAAACAGGATTTCATGATTTCTGAGATATGGTTCTGTCTGTTTTCTCTGCTTTTATAGGACCTTCTCTTTCTTTCATTTCTTGTATCCATGTGTTGCTCAATTTGAAATCTCTTCCCAGTAATTTATAATACAGACATGAAAAGAAGAAAACTGGACTCTGTCCTGCTGTCCACATAACCCCTTTTAACAATTTTTAGAAACAGAAAATGTACGTAGTTAGGATCCTTTAGTGGTTTGGTGAAGTGAAAGTCTTCCCCTGTCCTATTAAGACTTTTAAGAAATTCTTTTCCGGGGAAAAAAAGTATACATATACCAAAATACATGTGATTATTCCTAAAAATAAATATTTAAACACATTGTTCTTGAACTTGCTTGTTTAGTATGTATAAGGGATGTTTTAAAATTGGGAATATGTGTCAGCTAAAAAAGTATTTTAAATAATATTCTTTTAAAATATCTTTTAAAATAATATTCTTAAGACGTCTCAGAATAATTTAGGTAATGGAGCTCCTCTTCTCTTGGGCCCCTTTTCTTGATAGAAAGACAGGATTCCTGTACAATTTGGGGGAAGGAACTGGAGCCAGCTATAGGATGTTTTCCCAAGGTCGTCACTCACCTACCAAAGACCTTTCTAATGTTTTTGGTAATGCTTCTTGTATAATTATTAATCTCATTAGTGTATTCTATTTTTAAATAACCTTCACGTGGTGAGTTTATCCTGGTTGTATGGTCCCATCTCCCAGCTGTCCTTAAATCTCTTGCCTCTGGTTACACTGTTTCAGATTACATGTTTTTCAGGAACTCTGGTAACTCTGGTGCTTTAACTATATGTATCTTCTCTGTCAACATACATTTTCCTGTCTGTTAGAATGTATGGTCCTTGAGGATAGGAATTAGCCTTTACCTACATATTAGTGCTCAAAAAATCTTTCCTGGCTGAGGGACAAATTGTCTGAGGAGTACTGATGATGGTTCTGGGGACTTGTGTTTATTCCCTCCAGGGGAGCCAGGAAGTGGGACGGAAAGTGATACTTCTCCAGACTTCCACAATCAGGAAAATGAGCCCAGCCAGGAGGACCCTGAGGATCTGGATGGCTCTGTGCAGGGAGTGAAACCTCAGAAGGCTGCTTCTTCTACTTCCTCAGGGAGTCACCACAGCAGCCATAAAAAGCGAAAGAATAAAAACCGGCACAGGTCAGTGGGAGGGCCCCCCTGCCCACTCCCTGCCTAGTTTCCATAACTATTGCTTTGAAGGGACTTCACTAGAATAGAAATTCTTTAGCATTGGTGCAATCTTTCATTGCTGATGGATAGAAATTCCTTTGGTCCAATGGAACGGGCTGTTTTCTCTCTGAGGGAGGATTTGGTGGGCATTAGATTCACCATGAAGGAGGACATCCGTTTCACTGTTTCTAATGTAGAAGAATTTTATTCCATAAAAACTTTAATACAGTGACCTTGGAATCCTTTTAGAAGAGGACAAGGGGAAGTAGAAACAGAATCTGTGTAGTAGTACATGAAAGATGCCTCTAGAACATGATGGGAAGCTGCAAAGTGGGATGAAGTCTTTTGCTCTTCATCCTGACCCCTGCCTACTCATTCCTTTGTGGATGGAGAGAACTGATACGACATGCTGTTTTTTTCCTTTTTAAATGAAAGTTTTTGATTGCTTATCATTTCTCTGTTTTTATGTATCTCTGCAGCATACTGATTTCAGATGTCAGAGGAACAACATATAGTCTATAAGATATGAAAGTTCCATTCTAGATAATGTTTGTCCAGTGTTTTTTTGTTTTTTTGTTTTTACAGTGTATAATGAGATAGGAATGACATCAGTGGACAGAGAGGTCAGGTGTCACCCAGAGAGGATTTTAGCATTCACTCTGCTTGGGGTTTGTATGATAATTCTGGGGCATTTTAACTCAGATAATTGAAACTTATACGACTGCACTCAGAGAGGGTAATGCTTAGTTTGTAGAGTGGGGAATCTTGCCCTGACCTCAAACCTTCTCCTGAAAGGCATGAAAACCAGGTATCCATAGGCCAGCTCTTCTCTGTCGCCTGTCAGGAGCCTACATGCTGAGGAGATGAAAGGGGGCATGCAAAGAATGGGTGAGGTTTCCTGTCCAGTTTGCTTCTGGATTGGATTGCTTTACAAACCCGTGGGACATTCCTTCCTGCACCTAAGGTATTAAAATTGTTGGCTTTGTGGATATGGCACATGGGAGTAACTGCTTTGAGCCTCCCTCCTAGGCTCCTAGGCATCAACTGATTCTTTAAATCTTCTAACAATTTTTCTTTTCTATAGTGGTGGTGGTTTTTAGACTGCAGAAATAGTATTTCCTCTAATTAGTGACTAAGGACTGCTGCCTAATGGTTTTCTGCAAACTAAAGGTCCCCATGCCAGTCTCCTAAGTGCAGTGAGAAATAGCAAAAATTGCTTATCTTTTTTATTTGCATATTTGCAAGGCTATAGGTTATTTGATCACTGTCATAGGCCGCATGCTAGGTTTTCACGAACAATAGAGAACCATACTCTTAAAAATAATCTTTTAAACTGTAAAGGTAATGAAATATCATACTCTGTGTTGCTTTTACTAAATTTACTCTGTCGTTTTAAAGTAATGATTCTTTTCCTATTTCAGAGTGTCTAGAGTAGGGAGAAGATTCTCAGAAATTTCTGGGACATTTTTTCCATACTAATACAGTAGACCCTCTAGATAGCTATTGTTTATTTCAGGTAATTCCTCATTTTCCTTTGTGACATGAACAACTGACTGATAAAAGGGAATTAGCCATTGAACCTTTCTTCTTGCAAGTTTCAGTAGATTTCTATAGGAATACTTCCTACCCTTTCTTCTCCCAGCCCAGTAGCTAACTCCTTCCAGAAAAATACTAGGATTTATAAAGATCTTTGATGTTAGTTATTCCTTTCACAAATGGTGTTTTCTGTTTGGAAAGCAAAATTGTTTTGTCATTCTCCCGGTTTATTATCCGGCTGGGCTTCTCCCTTGGCCTTAGGCATTCACCTGCCCCAAGGGAGCAGAATGGGGCCGATTTGCCGCCTTCCTAGGGTAAACAGGTTCAGTGCACCTGAATGGCACCTTAGTGGCCAGTTAAGATTCTCAGATTCCTGCCATCTTTAGTCAGGAATTGTGTCTGGTCCAAATCCCTTGTCCCTGACGAATATGTCTTAGTGGGTCTGACACATTGGGGATGGGGCTGGTCCCTTTGTACACATTGTAAGGTTGCACCCAATACTTGTTTCCCCACCCAACCCCCCGACCGCCAATATGCCACATCCCATACAGGCAGATAAACTAAGTAGTAAATTATTTCAACAAATGTCTGAGTACATACTATGTGCCAGGAACTGTTTAGTGGTGAGTAAAAGCAAAGTGCAAATAAATCTGGTACTGTAGTAGAAAGGAATAACTTGTGAATTTGTCCTGTTCAGGAATATGAAAGTTTATCAAATAAATTTTAGCATTCATAAGTGATCACAGGGTTCTGAAATTTTACATTTTACAAGGTGTCAGAACATTAAGTCCCAATGTCTTTAAAGAAAAATGTTGAAATAACTTGAAGTTATTCTTAAAGGTTTTTACTACTATACTAAACTCTAGAATTCTTCTAGGTAGTTTGTGAAGCTTTCATTAAACAGGTATAGTCTAATTTGTGAACAAAGTTAAGTTAGGCTGCAAGTTAAATATTTGGTAGTTCCTGGTTTGTACACTTAGTGTGTACTCTTTCCCAGATGACTTAAGTGAAACTGTTGCATAAGGTATACTGAAGTTAAGTCTTCTAGCTTCCCTCTTGCAAACATAGGCTAGGAAGAAAATATGCCATTTTGCATATTATTTTACCACCTATCTACAGTCTGAAAAGCTTTGGAGCCAGCTAAGTTTCTGGTGTCATGCTGCAGGTTAATGTTTGCTTTGGAGGTCTGCCCAGACTACGACCTGTTAGCAGTGCCCCCAAATGGTCTCCTCTCTATACTGTTCCCATCCAGATTCCTGAGGCTTGGGTGCTTATGGATGTCAACTTTCCTTTGTTTTAATAGAGGTGCTGCAGATTTTGGTGTTCCATAGTTCAGGCCCTGACATAAACAGTTAACTGCCATCACCAATTCAGGAAGCAGAGATATATGGCTGTGCAGTTTCTTGAACAAGGCTATCACTGAAGTTTATTCATGGCTTCTAGGATGAGTGCTGTAGAAAATGAGTACCATATTCCTTGGACACACTTAGAACGTAATATTTGAGTTAAAAGTTGTGAAATGTTTTCTTTTAAAAAAATGTATAATGTTTTTATCTTTTAGGGAAACTGTATTATGCTGAGTTATTAGTATTATCTTCAAAGCACCTTTTGTTATATGACTAAACCCTTCTTTCTCTATTTCTATTAATGCTCTATTTATATTTTTCATTATAATTAAATATTTAAAAAGTTCTAACTCTGAATCTGGCCTGCAGGTATCTAGTTTTCTAATGAAATAACTTTTCCTTTCATAGTCTGTTCTTCTGAGATGCCATCCACTGAGGGAAGGGTATCTCCCAACCACAGTCTTTGGTGCTTTGATGTTTGAAACTTTATGGCTTAAGATTCTTAAAGCTGATTTTGTTTCTACAAATCTTACTAGGGTGGCTAATCGACTAATTTATTCAATTAGTGTATTAATTTCTATTGCTTTCTTCCTTTCAAATGCTGCCCCTCAGCCCGTCTGGCATGTTTGATTATGACTTTGAGTAAGTTTGATTTGAATTAGTATCTGTGCTGTGTTGTTTAGTGTGTAGAGACTGTGTAGAGACCAATATGCCTTTTGAGACCTTTCTAACCCATAGTTTATCTGTTTAATTGTAGATATGTATATTAGGTTAGGCTGGGAAGTTTTCTTTAAAAACAGAAAAATGTGATGGAGGTAACATTTTATTTAATAACTTTAGCAAAATTAAGTAAACTTCATTTTGATACATTTTAATTTCTTTAAAAATAGATAACCTTTACTTTAATTCATATTTGAATCGATTTTCTGGCTTTGTTTCATAAGGAGATTAATAGTTTAAGATCTTGAAATTTTGCTTTGGAAAGACTTAAAAATTGAAATTTGTTTAATTTCTTTTGTGTTTCATGTCCAGAAATACAAACTCCTAGTCTCTTTCCTGTTCTTAGTCACTGTGTGTCTCAGTGATTATCAGTGGTATAGTTACAGAGCTAACACAGTAACTTAGAGCATGCCCTCTTAATCGAGCCTCTTTAATATATAATTTTGGAATAATTTCTAAAAAGTATATGGCTTTTGGAACTGCTGTATATTTCTTCTTGAGTCATGTAAGTGTGCCTTGTGGCAAGAGTATCTGCTCATGTTTTTAAATACTAGTTTAATACTATCTGGGTAAACAACTAAATATGACATAGTCTAATGAAGAATGTGGATTTTACTTAACCAAATAGTTTTTGTTATAGCTTGTATCCTATACAGTAGCTCATTCTTGGACCCTTTTTCTGTAAATTAAAATGCAACTGTCTTTTATCTTTTCTATCACAGGATTGATCTGAAGTTAAACAAAAAACCACGAGCTGTAAGTATCAGCCATATCCTTTCAGAGAGGCTGGTAATTTTGTAGATGATTAGAAGAATGTATTCATTTTCAGAGCTTGAGCTTGAGCAGTCCTACTCTGGGGTTGTAACTCTCATTCTAAAGTCTGGAGAATGAGACTGGATATACTTCAGCTGTTTGGTGTTATTTATTTTTTATAGTTTGGAGAGAGAAAGGGGTCACACACTTTTGCTGAAGAAAAATCCCTTTTGATTAAAGAATGAATTGATAATAGCTTTTTTTTTAACCACCTATCTACAGTCTGAAAAGCTTTGGAGCCAGCTAAGTTTCTGGTGTCATGCTGCAGGTTAATGTTTGCTTTGGAGGTCTGCCCAGACTACGACCTGTTAGCAGTGCCCCCAAATGGTCTCCTCTCTATACTGTTCCCATCCAGATTCCTGAGGCTTGGGTGCTTATGGATGTCAACTTTCCTTTGTTTTAATAGAGGTGCTGCAGATTTTGGTGTTCCATAGTTCAGGCCCTGACATAAACAGTTAACTGCCATCACCAATTCAGGAAGCAGAGATATATGGCTGTGCAGTTTCTTGAACAAGGCTATCACTGAAGTTTATTCATGGCTTCTAGGATGAGTGCTGTAGAAAATGAGTACCATATTCCTTGGACACACTTAGAACGTAATATTTGAGTTAAAAGTTGTGAAATGTTTTCTTTTAAAAAAATGTATAATGTTTTTATCTTTTAGGGAAACTGTATTATGCTGAGTTATTAGTATTATCTTCAAAGCACCTTTTGTTATATGACTAAACCCTTCTTTCTCTATTTCTATTAATGCTCTATTTATATTTTTCATTATAATTAAATATTTAAAAAGTTCTAACTCTGAATCTGGCCTGCAGGTATCTAGTTTTCTAATGAAATAACTTTTCCTTTCATAGTCTGTTCTTCTGAGATGCCATCCACTGAGGGAAGGGTATCTCCCAACCACAGTCTTTGGTGCTTTGATGTTTGAAACTTTATGGCTTAAGATTCTTAAAGCTGATTTTGTTTCTACAAATCTTACTAGGGTGGCTAATCGACTAATTTATTCAATTAGTGTATTAATTTCTATTGCTTTCTTCCTTTCAAATGCTGCCCCTCAGCCCGTCTGGCATGTTTGATTATGACTTTGAGTAAGTTTGATTTGAATTAGTATCTGTGCTGTGTTGTTTAGTGTGTAGAGACTGTGTAGAGACCAATATGCCTTTTGAGACCTTTCTAACCCATAGTTTATCTGTTTAATTGTAGATATGTATATTAGGTTAGGCTGGGAAGTTTTCTTTAAAAACAGAAAAATGTGATGGAGGTAACATTTTATTTAATAACTTTAGCAAAATTAAGTAAACTTCATTTTGATACATTTTAATTTCTTTAAAAATAGATAACCTTTACTTTAATTCATATTTGAATCGATTTTCTGGCTTTGTTTCATAAGGAGATTAATAGTTTAAGATCTTGAAATTTTGCTTTGGAAAGACTTAAAAATTGAAATTTGTTTAATTTCTTTTGTGTTTCATGTCCAGAAATACAAACTCCTAGTCTCTTTCCTGTTCTTAGTCACTGTGTGTCTCAGTGATTATCAGTGGTATAGTTACAGAGCTAACACAGTAACTTAGAGCATGCCCTCTTAATCGAGCCTCTTTAATATATAATTTTGGAATAATTTCTAAAAAGTATATGGCTTTTGGAACTGCTGTATATTTCTTCTTGAGTCATGTAAGTGTGCCTTGTGGCAAGAGTATCTGCTCATGTTTTTAAATACTAGTTTAATACTATCTGGGTAAACAACTAAATATGACATAGTCTAATGAAGAATGTGGATTTTACTTAACCAAATAGTTTTTGTTATAGCTTGTATCCTATACAGTAGCTCATTCTTGGACCCTTTTTCTGTAAATTAAAATGCAACTGTCTTTTATCTTTTCTATCACAGGATTGATCTGAAGTTAAACAAAAAACCACGAGCTGTAAGTATCAGCCATATCCTTTCAGAGAGGCTGGTAATTTTGTAGATGATTAGAAGAATGTATTCATTTTCAGAGCTTGAGCTTGAGCAGTCCTACTCTGGGGTTGTAACTCTCATTCTAAAGTCTGGAGAATGAGACTGGATATACTTCAGCTGTTTGGTGTTATTTATTTTTTATAGTTTGGAGAGAGAAAGGGGTCACACACTTTTGCTGAAGAAAAATCCCTTTTGATTAAAGAATGAATTGATAATAGCTTTTTTTTTCTGACTGGTGAGCAAAGGAGGTCTAATAAGAGAACAGGTGTTTCAATCCTTTTGTGGACTGGACTCATAAGGTCATTTTCAGATATGCAATATTACCCATTACATTTGAAATAGAATCTTAGCCTACAGAACAATCCCCTAGCAAAGTTGTTGATGAGATTTTTTTTTCTTAGGTTCAGACCAAAACTAATGTTCTGCTGAGAGTAAACTGGGACTTTGTTTTCTCTCTTCAGGACTATTAGAAGACTCATCAGTGCAGAAGCCTCCAGGCCACAGAGCCCTGCTTCCCTCCTCTGACCTCACAAAGACAGGCATCCCTCACCTGAGTCCGTGGCCATCCACCTCTGCTGCCCCAGACCCAGTGCCTGTGACTATGAGTAGTCTGTTCTGGAATGTGGTGACAAGCAAGTCTTTTCTGTAAGACCACATTGGATCATGTACTTTGTGTCATTTTTAGTGACAGACCTGCAGGAAGACCAAGACATGGTTGTAATCCCAGCAAGCTGCTGACTGTGCATTTCTCCCTTCTTGGAATGAATGTCTCCCCCATCCCCAGGCACCACCTTCCTCCGTGATGCTCATCGAGGAATGTTCTCTGGGTTTCTTTTACGCTGAAAGTAGAACACAGGTCACTCTTCAGAGGGAGGCTGTAAATATCTGGCATTCTCTTATTTTGTTTGGTTTTATTATTTTTCTGTTGTTTTTACCATCTTATTTTCTTTTGGGACATTTTGTAATGCCATTATACAGCTCATACCTTCCTGCTGACATCTGATGGTCTGTTTCAGGCAGTTGCCAATATTTTTAACTGAAAATAATGGTTTGCCATAAATAAAATGAGGAACTCGGCTCTTTGTTTTTTTGCAGGGAGAAGGTAAAGAGCATTTATTTAATAATTATACCTATCTTAAATCTTTCTGAGTTGGAAACAGTTTTGAGTTCAGGGAGCAGGAAAAGCTGAATAAGTTTAAACCAGTCCTTTTAAAACAGGTGTTTTTTATTATTTTGTATAAATAAAATTTCACAGGCTTTGACTTCTCATGCTATGCTTTTAAACCTGAGATTGTTTTTTCACTTATTTATTCATATCATGCCTTATGGAAATTTAATTTCTTTTTTTCTCCATCTTTTCTCTCTTTGCTGGTATTTGCTTGATTAAATACTGCTCTGAAAATCACTAAGATGTATAAAAAGACTCAAAATTGTACCCAAAGCTGATAACATACTGAATTCTTGAACAGAATGAAAGAGGATCAACAAGAGCCAGCGATGCCCAACAGATTCCCCCTTCCTTCCAGGCTTTGATGGGCTGAGGAACTTGTTAATTGCTCGAGTTGTTACCTGCCTCTAGAACAGTGGTGATCTACTTTGGCTGTACATTGGAATTATCTGGGAAGCTTATTCAAGAAATAACAATGCCTGGGTTCACCCCCAGAGACACTGGGGGTATAGTCTAATTATTAGGATTTCCTGTCAGAGTCCTGGGATTCAGGTAAGAAGCCAAGATGAGAACCACTGCATCAGGGTCTGGATGGTTTAATGTAAGTCCTGTGCTGGGAGCCAGTCTAAAGGGTAGGATTTGGGGCCTCACCCTTCCTTTGACTCTATTTAGTCATAGTCCTTTACTTATGCCCTTATCTTTGTTAGAAAAAATATGTTCCATTTGTGATAATATTGATAGAGCTAAATGTGGATGGTGTCTTATCAAAACAAGTTACCCTGTCAGATGTGCAAAAGCTTTCACTTTTGTCCTCAAATAAATTTTTTTCTTGACTCTGTGGCTATTTAGATATCTTTGGTAGCAGAACTCCAATGTCAGGATTTTTAAGGAAATAGTTTATTATATTTAGATTGTTCCTTAAGAAAACAAAACTAAACTAAAAACTAATAGTGGAAATGAGAAGCTTTCTGTATCCTTTTTATCAGTTGGTTTCCTTTCTGGAAGGCTTTGGTGGGATCCCTACAGTTTCCTTAACTCTCAGAAAAGCACACAGCAAACTTGAAAATACATCCGCTTCTTGCATTTTGACATTTACTAGATATATATAGTAGGACTGCTCTTAAAAAGATGTATTATTTGAAGGTATATCTATGTATATGAACACACCCATGTGTATATATAATCATGGAGATTAGGCTGCTTGCTCTATACTTATTTGCTCTCTAAAGCTTAATCATTGATGAAAGGACCTCCCAGTTTTCCTATAAGTTGGCCAGGCGTACCAAAGATAAGCCTGAGAGATGATCGCTCAGGTTCCCTACATTGAGGTGGTTTAGGAAAAATGCCCAGAGATCTCTGCCTACCATGCTTGTGATATTTGTTTGCTTGACTTCAAAAGAGGGTAAGGTAATGACTTTGATCAGGTCATTGACCAAAAGAACAGGGGAGCTAACACAGAGGGCCACATTTAGGTGGCAGTAGTCCTTGCAGTTTCCACCTATAACATTTGGTAGAGGTAATCTGCTGGGTGACCTGCACCCCTCATCTTAGCCCCCACCACCAGTGACCCTGAACCAGAATGACTGCCAGGACCACTGAGAGGGGCCTCCTTTTGGGCATGTATTTACTAGGCTGCTTGGGTTTGGAACAGAATTTGGCTTTGGACCTTAAGCCTCTTCATGTCTTGAGGTGGGACTAGAATGCCCTTTGCTTCTTAGGGTAGTCAGAAGACTTTTTTAAAAAGTCCAGGCACTTTGTTGTTACATTTTATATCTTATTCTGGGAGGATGGTGGTGGTCAAGCTTCCTAGGGAGTCTCAAGTATGCTTTTCCAGGGGCTGAGGGAGTAGTTTATTCAAACACCAACAGACCCTACAAGTTGAAGGTTGTGGGTAGGAACAATCCACAGAGTAAAAGATTAGAAGCTCTGGGGCCTAGGACAGGGACTGAGGGAGGTGTCATGAGTTTGGAAGGGCCAGCATGGGTTGAGGACTTTCAAAGCTGTATATATATCTTGGGGACCCTCAGAGTGCTTTATGAAAGTACGTAAGTAGGTTAAATATTCCCCCCACAATTGAGTTTATACTGTTGGCTTAGGAGAAAATGCCTTGCTTTGAAAGAATAGGAAACAGGCCTCAGAATTATTTCTAACTCCCAAGTTTGAGCCTTTGGGTGCTTGGGTGATATCAATACTCTGAGTATTCTGTAAAGAGCATCCTTGACATCGTGACCTATGCAGGAAATAAAATGAGTACTAAGTGGCCTAAGCATAAAAGCAGGTAAGTATGCCATATTGAAACACTTTTCTTAGCGTTTGTTTCTATTTTGACTTCCCTGCCACTCAACCTTACTCCCAATTACCAAGGCGTTATTAACTTAAAAATTCACATCCGCACCAGATTCCGGTGGCACTGCCCTGGTTTGGGTGCAGCATGGAAAGAGTGGGATCATGCAGCTTTGTACACATTGGCTTCTTTTAGACTGGTGTCCAATACCTGGCAAGGTGACGTGCCTGGAAGATGGAGTGAGAAGAAGGCACTGGGATTCTCCTTCCCATGTTAATCTGAATAAATGTTATCATGTCTGAATTTACAAGTGATAAGCTTCATGATTTGAAGCAATTTCCACTTTGAACAACTGCTTCTGTAGAGTAAAAGGTTTCACCACTGATATGGCTGGGGTGTAGTTGGTTCTGATCCCCACTGTGCTGGGCAAATGTCTGGGGAGTATCTCAACGGCCTCCATTAAGATGGATCGTGGAGGGTGGGAGGGACATACCAGGCCTTTGGTTTGTATTTACTTTCAGGCTCAGCCTTATTTAGTTCCTTGTTTTGAGTGTATTATGTAATATACATAAATATTAGTTCATTAGTACATGTAGATAATTTAAGTAAATGTTAAGTTGAACCGTGAGGAATTGCTGATTCAATTGTTCTGATCTTCAAAATTGGCAGTTACAGTTTAACAACATCTATGTGTTGGGGGTTTGTATGTTCCCAAGTTTTTACTGCTTGTGTACAAGGATAAACTTTGGAGATCCCGGGCCAATACAACCAACTTTCCTCAGATCCCACCTCCTCACCCCTGTAACATTTCTACACTGCAAAGGTGCTTTAAAATATTTAATTTGAATAAGGAATACCTGCCAATTGTGTCTATATAAATAGTACTGAAGTGTAGTCAATGAAAAGTAAGTCTATCAGTCGGCCAGCTCCCAGTTGTCCTTCCCAGGAACAGTTTCCTGTGTATCCTCCCAAAGGAACTTCATACCTGCTGAACAATATCAATACACACGTGTCTATGACAAAAATGGTAGCGTGCTTTTTTCATCTACTAACACATCTTAGAAAAAGTTCTACAAATGCAGCTGCTTCGTGTCTGTTGGCTGTTTAATAGACTGTAATGTGTACACAAAAATTTATTTAACCAGTCCTCTACCACTGGCTTCAAGGTTGTTTCCTACCTTTTGCTGTTTTGGACAGTGCTGCCATGCCTTACGTTATTTTGCACATGTGACTCAGTGGGATCACTGAGCCAAAGGGTTAAAAAATAAAAGCATGTGGGTCTCATTGTGACTCGATCTTCCAAATCACTTTTTAAATGTGAATACTTGTATTTTTTTCTCATTTTCATTTCCTTCTTATTCTTCCAGCTCCTGAGAATTTTTCTTGAGTAATTTGTTACCCAGAAGAGTTGGAATTTTTTGGAACTTTAAACTTTGTGGAACGCACGACTGTAGCCTCTGGTTTTGCCTTCCAGAGTGCAGCTGAAAATTATATTAAGAATCCCATTTTTGCCTTAACACTTACTTTACATATTATTCTCCTTAGTTTCTTGATTTCAGATCCTGCTGAAGATCCTTGACTCAGCCCTCTATTGAGGCCAGCGCTGGTGTGCTGAGGCTACGCCAGCCCCCTGATCCACAGGCAGTTGTACCGGGAAGCGCCAGCAGGTGGCAGGCAGAGCACCCCAGGCACCCAGGCCTTCAGCGAGCCTTCTCTAGAGACCAGCCAGAATCAGAGCTTTGGACCCTCACAGTGACCTGCCTGCCTCCCAAGAACATGCCCAACTCAGTGTGGGGTGGGGTGAGTTGCCCGACGCTTTTCTTCTACCACGTTTGCAGCCATTTCTAAAACGGGTGAGCAATTTAATATCGCCAGCAGCTAGCTGCCTTGTGATGGGCTTCGAGGCCACACCCAGATTGGCAGCCTGGGGCCTCCTCCCCCTCCAGGAACCCGCCAGAAGGATTTACATACCATGGCCTGGGATGGCTTGGGTTTCCTTAATTGTAGGGCCCTACTTCCTGTCTCTCTCAGCCAAATCTCCCACACCCTTCCCATGAACTAGGAGCTCTTCAGACAGGCTCTTACTCACCACCCTCCTCTCCACCCACACTACTATGGGTAGGAACAAAAAAAATGAGCCAGTGGTTTGAGAAGCCTTGGGGCAACAGTGCCAGGATCCTCTGACTGCACAGGAGCCCCTAGGATGCCTGCTGTCACCACTGCCTCCCCCCAACTCCTAGATTTGTGTCCTATTGAATCCCAGTTTTCTCTGTTGCTCTGGCACTGTGTCTTGATAGATAACCTGTTCAGCAGCTCCTTCAGGGCAGGGGTCTTGCTCTTTTGTGTAGGGGAGAAAAACTCTGGCTTTTCCAGGAGTTGTGGGGAGCAAGGAGGACACAGAACTGTGCTGGTGGGAAGAGGGAGGAAGTGGCAGCTGCGGTGGTGAGTGGTGGCCTTCTCCAGCGATGACTCCTCCCCACCCTGCAGGAGACTCAGTGACGTTTGGGGCTAGCAGCACTGGGGGCTGGGGATGTGGTGTCCCTGGGAGAGCTGTTTCCCTGGAGCTCTAAAGCCCTCCTGCTCCTATTTAGTTCCGCAGATCTCTTGGGACTGGGGTTTTCCTCAGGCTGCTAAAGTGGATGGGGACAGAGTGGGCGGGGACATTCAGGGCAGGGAATTTCATTCCGCTGTGGGCCAGTTCATTCTCTGCCACAGAGGCAGAGATTTCCACAGTCATCCTACGCCCCAAGTGGGGTTAACCTGTGTGAGACAGAACTTGCAAGAAGACTCAGGGTCGGGCCCTGCTGCTGAGAGCCCCAGGGTGGGGTCTGGGCCTCTCCGGGCTTGGGGAAGGGCTGGCAGGAGGCCACCATCTGTGAGCTCCCAGTATCATTTCCCAACAGTATAGAATTTGCATATTCACTGTTTCCCTGTCAACTTCTCAGCTCCGGGAACCAAGAAAACAAAAGGAGGAAAGAACACCAGGGCAGCTACCTGAGTTTGATCCCCTCCAGCTTCTGTCTCAGGGTCACACTTTGGCCCTGCCACCCCCTCCCTCACAGGATCCCCTGTGAGCCTTGCAACTGTCTTGTGAGGTAGGCCCGGAAGTGAGGGAGGGGAAGTGGGCTGCCCAGGGCCGCACAGCCTGTGAAGGGAACTTGAACACAGGGCTTTTCCTGTCATGCTGCCACCACACAAGCTAAGGGATCCTTTTGCCTGATCCAGAGATGCAGGGATCACAGTGTCCCTTTTACAGGTGGGCACTAGGAGGCCAGGTAAGTAAGCGTGCTTCAGTGGGTAGGTGGTGGGGAGAACACTGCAGTTAAAACCCATGTCATGGGAAAAAACATATCCTGGGCATTGGGCCTGGCAGCTTCTGAGTGGTCCTGCCTGGAAGCCAGATTGAGAAAGAGGGCTGCTAGGGGAGGCTCCAAGCCCTGATGGCCAAGTCAGCTAGGCTGAGGCTGCCGGGAAAGGATGCAAGCTCAGGCCCACAGGGCACTGACCTAACTTGGTCCTCCCTGGAGCCCAGTCTCTTCTGGCACCTGCTGCATGG